TGTGGAGAGAGTCGTCAATATGTGGACGGGGGGGGGGGGGGAGGAGGAGGTTGGTTCACGTCCATTCAATGATGTTTGGCTCCTTTAAAAGGGGGAAAAAATCTGTTGAAGTTACAGGTGGTCTGGACATGAATGTGTTGTTCACGAAAAAACATTCAGGTGTTTGTAAACAGTATAGTGTGTAGCATGTGTGAGTGTTTGGTAGTGATGTATCACAGTGGTATTACTGTGTTTCTAATGTTAACAACAGTGTGATGATGTTGTCTACATGTTTTATTTCAGCAGACATCACTACAGTAGTTGTTGTATGTTGTAGTATTGTTTGTATTGATTAATTTATTACTGTTTAAAATGCATGTGTGGTTTACTTTGAGGGAGGGACCGATAAACCAAAGCTGTCAGCAACAGTGAAGCCTCAACAAAAAGTAACATTTTACTATATATGTGTGTGTGTGTGTGTGTGCACGTGTATGTGTGTGTGGTCCACAGCTTTGTAACGCTGCTGATTCAGGGCAGAAACTAGGAAATCTAAAATTGTTTAAACAAAAAACAAAACAAAAAATCTGGCTCTCTGAATCAGTGTTCCATGAGGGATAATCATTTTTTAGCTCGTCATTACAGTAGATCCTTGTCTGGCCTTGTCTCCACAGTATGTATCATACATACCAGGTGAATTATTGTAGTCATATTTTCCACGAGATCATGGGAAATTTAGGGTTCCTTGTGTACTTCTTGCTTAAGACTGGTTCGCATCATTTTCCAGTGCAGTGTAATCTGGAAATTGGAGTGACATCTCTGTAACATGATGTCACAAAATCATGGAATGCTTAGGAAGTCTACTACAAATATCTTTGTTTGTAACCGCACAGGCTAAAATTGTCCGTTTCTCCACTCCCCTCGAGGTAAATAACATGAGACACTCAGCAACTGCTTTCTGTTATCTACAGTGAAAAATGGTCAAAATGTTAACAAATAAAGATTTGTGGAGTAGATTTAAAATGTTGGCATACTGTGGTGTGTGTCATCATGATCTGAAGGACATGTTTGTAAGAAGCTAGTAAATTAACTTTTTTTGTTCCTTAAAGGAAATGGTTCTTATAACTTTTGTTACTCCTAGTTTGTATGTATGTATGTATATGTATATACTGTGTATATATATATATATATATATATATAGAGAAAGAGAGAGAGAGAGAGAGAGAGAGAGAGAGAGAGAGAGAGAGTATTTTTTTACATTTGAACATTTGATACATAAGAGAACTGTAATGTTCATTTCTGTAACACCAGGATAAAGGAAAAAATAAAGTTATAATAATAATTATAATAATCTCCTGAGCATTTCCTTCCCAGCAGGCCTGCCCCTCCCCACCATTCTCATCAAACAGATCAGGTCCCTTCTTTTCTTACACTTCCTAATAAGTCATGATGTTGCATTTTCACCGATTCTCTTAAAGATCCAAGTTATATCACGTTGCCCCGTTCATTTTTTAAAAAAATGCTTCACATCAGAAAAGCAAGATCCATTCTTTTCAACTGAAAATTCCCTTTTGAATGAAGTCTTTGTCACAGTCTTTCTCCAGGAAACTGTCCACTTCATTGCTCTGATTAATTAAAGACACTGACACCACGACTCAAAAAGTAAAAGAAGAGTAAAGAACTAGGACTCTGGTCACAGATATCACACTACAGGTTTCACTGGGTTCAGTGTAGAACAAGGTAAGGTTTGGGTCACATTTAAGTGCAAAATATACAGTATATGTGTGATCTAAATGGCTGAGGATGCTGGAGATGTTTGTGACCTGGCCTGTGCTGTTTCATTGTCAGACAACAGACCGACTGTTGCAGATGCCGATGGACTTAACAAAGGGTTTAGACTGGTTTTCTTGAGACACTGTCTCATAAGAAAAGGAGGACTATTGCCAAGGTATGCAGCATCTTAAATAACACTTCTCCACCCATTCAGTTGGATGCGGTCTCAAACAAAAAGTGTGATTAAATGAAGACTAAACCTCTCAAGACAAACGAAAGAACCAAACACCAGCCAATATTTAATGCAAGGTCGAACACTCTTAGTCAATGGAATGATGGCTAACTGTCCAATAGATTGACTCTGTGTGGTTATTCCTGCGCAATAACATGAACTTTCTGTCATTTGTAATATAATATATTATTCATAGACACATTCAATCTAGACATTTGGTTTCTGTAATTACCGCTCATTCTGACACGTTTGCTGATCTGACATACAGTCTGTATTTATTAGGTCACTGGGGCAGTGGTGGCTCAGTGGTTAAGGAAGCTGACTTGAGTCCGGAAGGCTTCAGGTTGGAGTCCACCAGCTGCCAAATTACCACTGAGGTGCTCTGAGCATGGCACCATCCCACCACCCACTGCTCCCCGGGCGCTTAAAGCTGTCCACTGTTCACTTTGGTGATGGGTTAAAACCAGAGGTCACATTTTGTGCAGTGGTGTGCTGTGTCACAATGACAAGTAGTTCATTTTCTTTCTTTCTATTTTCTTCCTTGTTGTTCCTTGTCCAGTAGGAATTAGTGTAAGTCAGACAAGTCAGAGATGTGTGTGAATGAGAATGGGTTGGGTTGAGAAGAGGAAATGGAGGTGGCAGACTTGAGGATTGGACATAAAGTGAAAGAGGAGAGGTTGAGATGGTTTGGACATATGCTTAGGAGAGACAATGGACCAAGAATGTTGGGGATGGAGCAACAGGACGGGGAAAGTAGAAGGTCCCTGTAGAAAGGGTGAACATGTAGAAAAGGAAGACATAATGATGGTTGTTATAAAAACTGTTCAATGACAGGAAATAAAAGATTAATGAACGTTTAGTCTGGAGAAAACACTCCATAAACAATGATGTCACTCACCTAACTTGGACATGCCTTCAACATTAGCCAATCAACGCAATGTCTTTCGAACTGACTCCCAGACTTGATGTTATGTATAAAATCTCCAGTCTACCACCGTGACGTTTGTTAGTGTCTCACTGCTCCACTGAAGTGACTCCACATACAGTAGTTTATACAGTGCTTATCTTCTACAGCCTCCTCCGTCTTCATTTCCACTCTTGTTATTTTTCCTTGGATGACTAGTTACTTAAAGGTATGAGCAGAGAATGACTCTTCACTTGACTGTGTGCATAACAAACACAAAATGCAAGAAATCTAGACATAATATCCACTGCTTTATTTACTCTGGTGCTCATTTACAGTAGAGCAGTTTGTCATCAGAAGGGTTCAATAACATTTAGTCCAAAAAGCCCGAGTTGTTGTTTTTTTACAGTAAGAAGGGCTTCTGGTTTAAAAAATGTACCAAAACACGATGCTGCCTACCACTGTGGTGGCCACTCATAAACCTACCACACAAAAGTGCAACTGGTTTTCTATGCTGCCACAGACTGTATGATGTAATAAATGAGTGAACCAGCAGAGGGCGCTTTATGTGCAGCTTGACATTAGTTCCTCTTTTGGCCCGTTAGTAAAGGAAATTAGTAACACTACATTGTATAGATCAGTCTTTCTATTTAAAATATACTAAAAGTTTACTTACTTGGTGTAAAATCGGAGCCTGTTTAGTTGAACACAGCTGATCATTGCATTAGTGTTGTATTGTAACAACACAATAATTGAAGAAAGACACGCAGAGATCAAAAGCTCTGAGCCTCTCTCTTTTTAACTTTTATATCTCTGTCAAGTGGTGGAAGAGTAATTGATTGCTCCATGGTCCACCAACATTCAGGACAATATAATGTTTCATGTCACAGTGGTTGGGAATCACTAGTACAGGTGATAGTTCCCCGAGAAGACTTTACTGTACAACTCCTCCAAAAAGCTGCACATTTAAGACTCTGGATTTCAATAACAGCCCAAATAAGTCTGTTCTTCCTGCTGCATTTCTTTAGTGTGGTTGTGTAAGATGGTTGCTGCTCTTATGTCTCTCTTGGCCGAGGTACATGACATATCGTACTACAACGCTAAATATTGCTAAGAGGTTTTCTGTAAATCTTTAATAAAGTCTTTTGAAGGGAGTAGCTGTGCCCTCCTTACTTAAACAATATTAAAGGGATGTGTGTGACCTTCTCAGAGACCTGTGAAGTACATTAAAAGGGGGGAGAAGAAAAACGTATAAACAATGTCAACAGTAAACCATCTCACCCTGTATACCCTGTTCAAACACACACACACACACACACACACACACACACACACACATGAAGTCTATAAATACTTTATTCATGTGGGAACCATGCACACCCACACACACACAAACATGTGCTTCTTAATTCACCTGT